AGATCCAATAGTGCAAAATGCAAATTCTTGCACTTTTTTGACTGGTCTTAAGATTGTGATCAGGAGTGTACTGTATATTTGGGTTCTTTTAAGTTGCCCTTTAGGTATGAAGGAGCGACACAGATGCCATGCTGGATTTTACCACTTCCGGTGGTCTTTTATTTTTGGTAACTATGACAACATGACATCACAACCTCATGTGCAACTTCACTGTTAATTATCAGTAACAATACTAACATTCTGAAGAATTAGTCTAGAACYGGCATTAATATTTAATGCATCACTATACTACAGCAACAGTGTTCAGTGGCTCGAAATCTCACTCCAAGCTCAGGTCAAAGCTTGAGAGCCCTGTAAACAGCTAATGATAACTGCTAACTCAAGCTCTGTCATTAGACAGGTGGCATCCATAAAAACATGCCAAAATCCTGGCTAAAAGTTCATAAAAACAATTTTTACATTCACCAAATACATTTATACCACAAGCAGATGAATCACAAAAATGCTAAAGATGCTACACGCACACACATGGCTCATGACACAGGTGCAGCGCTGCAGGTGGGAGGTGAAAGTTGTTTTCCTTTGGGGACTCAAACTTACAGTAGAACCAAATTTTGTGGAAGCTAATTGGTTTGCTGCTGTCCCCGGGACCCGACCTCRGGTAAGCAGAAGAAAACAGACGGACTGGTTCGCTAACAGTTTCCAAAGTTAGCAAAAATGCTAATCTGCTAAATAAGAAGTTAGCGCTGATATTAGCTGTTTGTAGGTCAGTGGAACTGTGCCCACCACTGATGCTCGTATTATTGGCCCGGCCTCAATCAAACAAGTGATTGATGTGGTCAGCATCTGTGTGGAAAGATGTTCTTGAAAAAAACAGAGATTTTAAAAAAGAATTTGCCGTTCTGATAGTGTTACATTTTGTCTGACAGCACCATGTTCCTGATGGGCCCGGTGAAGCAGCTGAAGAGAATGTGTGATAAAACAAGAGCTCTGGCCACCACCATCATGCTGGTAATTTGAACCCTTCCCTTCAATTACAGTTTTTAGATTGGATTTAAAAGCTTTGCTTATTTACCCAGCCTCATTTATGGAAAAATATCTAAAATGAAAATAATGATGATAATAATTCAGAACTTTTTAAGTGGGGTTCTGTGGAAACTTTAATATCTTCCCTGTTGTAGGTTTGCTAAATAATATGTGCTTTCATTTGGAACATCTGTCTATTATTCTTTCAATAGTGATTCCGTTTTTCTGACTCAAATGACAAAATAATTCCCACTCTGATACAGTTGCCACCACGTTTCACTGTTTTCAGCAGA